ATATAGTTGAAGGTATTGTTGTGCTGGCCCACTTTCTTAATCGCCTCTCTGTAGAAGAGGCAAGAATGAGGGATGGGAGAGTGTAAGGAGACGATGATGGATACATCCTGTAGTTCACACACACACACACACACACACACACACACACACACACAAATGCAACCTTTAAGCCTGAGTGGGCATTATGTATTAACAGCCCTACCTCTGCCTTTATCTTGTCTGCAGAGACAAATAAACCTTACCACAGAGTGAGGAGTTAAATGGAGGTAAAAGGAAAATAGAGGGTGTTGGCCAAAAAGGAAGAGGAGGCTAAACATGGGGGTCATAATAGGCAATCGTGGTACATGATACACGGTAACACAAGATATTCAAAATGTGGAAGGTGTACAGCTAATAGCACACTGTTATTCACTGAATCAAGCTGAGCACCCATCAGCTAATCGGTTGAGTTAGCTTTCAGGAACAATGGCTTATATTTTGGGGCTTCTGGTGTCGCCGGTGGATCTCTAGGTGAGGACTTCCTGTACCATTGTTTTCTATGCAGATGACTTTTGAAAATCTAATAAAAGGCAGCAGCATTGTGAGACTATATATGGTTTTGATGCCAGAACTTAGTAGAGAAATCCTTGTTCACAGCTGTAAGATTCTTCTTGTAGTCTGTCACCAGGTTTGCAGACATCCCTGGAGGGATTTTAGCCCACTCCTCTTTACAGAAACTCTATAAATTATTTTGGTTTCAGCATAGTGTGTTCCCAATGATGTTCCTGGTGACTGTGTCTAGTCCCTTCAAATCATTAACAAGCTCCTGCTGTGTAGTTTTGGATTGATCCATCACCTTTATCATGATCATCCTCGTCCCAAAAGGCAAGATCTTGCATTGATCTCCAATTTAAAGGCAATTGATCATTTTATACTTCTTTCATTTTTGAATAATCGCGTCAATAGCTGTTAAGTTCTCACCAAGCCTCTTTGTGATTGTCTTTTAGCCCATCCCAGTGTTGTACAGGTTTGGTTGTAATCTGTGTGACACATGTGTACAGAGCCAGTGAGAATATCAACCAAACATCCAGAAAAAACAAAATAAAACACCGTCTATCCATTAAAATGGAACTATCATAAATATTACAGGCTTCTTATCTCTGGAAGTGAGAAATCTTATAAATTCACCAGGGGATCAAATAATTATTTCCCCCCACAGGGGGGTTGCAATCTTTATGTTTTGTCCTTATTGTGGATTGTTTACTGCACCCAGTATGATCCCGTTCAAATGTGATTGGTTAGCAGAAGATGGATTACCCCTTGCCTTCTAAACATAATCTCATAAGTTAAATGTATAAAATCATGAAGGCCTTTAAAGATTTAAGCAGTTCTGTCACACACACTTGTGCTTGTGTTTGAACAATTTGTCCTGAAGCACCAGCTAGCATACTGTACCGATGAGAACATGCAACTTCAGTTTTCACACAGTTGCTGCGTGACAGCCGAATAACTTTAACTCCACACAAACTTCCTCTCCAAGAGTTATATCTGTAGTGTTACTGCAAGTTGTGAGATATTTGCCCAGATCCGTGTGTACTCAGTGCGTATGCTTGTAAAGAAAAGCATGTCTCATATGTGAGCATGAACTGGTACTGTAGCAGCATCCCTCTATCCAGCTCTCTATGTTCAATCTAATCTTGTAAAATTCTATAGACAGAGAGGCATTGTTTCTGCCACTCTTCTCTTCTTTCTGGAACTTCTCTGATTAACATTTGAGGAAGGGAATGACACTGCACAGCATGACGAATTGCATTGCACATCCACTTCTATTTGGCAGTGCCATTGCTTCATAAATGGTTTTATTGCTAATGGGATTTAACTAGATTCTTATGACATTTAGCATTCCAAAGAAATAAAGCGTCACAAAGGGAACTTTGAGAACGCTGCCTGCTGTGAATAGACAAATTAATTGATCGTTTTAGTATTCTACTGGGCTCGCTTTGTCTTTTCAATTCATCTTTAAAATTTGATGCTTTTTAAATTGCTACTAAGAATATCTTCTACATGGATAACGTTGGATCGATGATAACACGATTGTCATGACTAAAAATAAGCAGTGATACATGGGTGTATCAGCAGTACTGTAGGGCAATTCAGTGCTGTCATACTGAGAGTCTCTTAGCAAAGTTTTTGTAGGGACGGAAACCAATATTCGGTCTTTTGTGTGGAGCACCGAGTGTCAAACCTGACATTTATAAACACAAAAACACTTGAATGACTGACCAGCTTTCGCTGTAATTTACTTGCCACTGAGAGGAAATAAATCCACTTGTTTACTTCCTCTCAGTGTTAAATGATGACATTCTTGAAAGTGCCGTGTCCGTGTTAAATATGTTATAGCTGCAAGCTTAGTGACTCAAATCTCTATTGCTATTGCTCCTTTCATCTATATCTCAACTAGAATGAAAATTGGAGAACTTACGCTTGTGCATGTTTTAGTGTTTTTAATTTGTCATCATTTTATTTTTCCTTAAACCAGAGAGAAAAAAGCTCCTTATTTTCTGTCCCTTCTGTGCAATACTACTTTATGTCTCCATTATAATGCTTTTAGGACCAGATAAGGTTATTCATATTGGAGAAACACTTACATTTTTTGTATTAGTATTTTTTAACTTTTACGTGTGTGTGTGTGTGTGTGTGTGTGTGTGTGTGTGTGTGTGTGTGTG